GGGCGTCCGTCACGCTCTTCGTCGTTCACATCTTCTCAGCCCTCTGAGAACATTTTGTACCACCGATAAACGTTGCTTCGGTCCAAGGTAGCTTCACCATATGCCACAGTCAACATTCGGAATGCGTCCGCGCACTTAATTTTGTTTTTCACACAAAATTTGATACAGATTCTTTGATCCATTTTTTGGAATAGGCAAAAATCGAAGACGAGCCAAAACACGTCCAAGCGAAACAGCTGTTAAAAATAAACTGAATATTCAAAATGGCCGACTTTTTCGGCATAAGTGAGGGACATGAGTACCAACATAACGCCACCAAAAAATCGAAAATCGAATATACGTAACCCGCGGAAATTCAAAATTCGCGATACTTTTTGAACAGACTTCTTATAATTCCGAATTCGGTACTCAATATAAATGGAGTTTTACGTTACAATGCTCAAGATTGCACAGTTGTATGCATCATATACAAAAATATTATTTTTTGGTACAATGTGGTAGAAAATTTCCACCAATTTTTCATCGGCATTACCGAAGCTTCGCACGTGGGTAACATTCGATTGCTTGGCAATCCTTTAACCTTTCAGGTGCTTCGTCTGAACGGTAGCGTAGTAGTGTATCAATCAACGAATCTCAGCACGGTACGATTTTTGCGAAACATGGTTGATTGAACAAGAGGATCGTCGCTTTAGATCATCCACAAGCTATAGCGATTGGAAAACCTCCGAGCGGCTTACGACAAAGTTACGGTCTCGCGCGTCGGCAGGAAGAACTTTGTAGAAGGTATCAATTCCACGCTCTCAGGACACTTCCATCGGAATCAAATGGTCAAACTGGATTTCAAGTTCTTTTATCCATTTTTCGCGCTCGTACATCTTTCTCTCAAAACGGTATACGTACTAACAGCGTACCATTTGTTTTACGATTTCGCGGGGAGAAGTATCAAAACTATAGACAGGTTCGGTAATATCAGAGGTGACAACGATCGCATAGTCAACGAAGATAAAGGTATCGCAGCCGTTGCGAACCGGTCTGATGTGCATCTACGAGTAAGAACCAGATGCTACGTACGTACGCAAATGACGCCGAGTGCTTGTTCAGGCGAAGGTGCGGGCGGACGACAAGGAGGAGAAGGAAGACGATGAGGAGAAGCGACGATATGCTATAGCAGAGGATGAAGCTTTCGAGGCGCAACGCGATACGGAAAAAATGCGCAAGTTTGTCGAGGAGGGTGCATCTTAGGGAGAGATATTAATAGCTAGAAAACGACCGAAGATACTAAATAGTAACTACGTCGCCACAGCAAACATCAACGGTTGTAACGCGGAAGAATGCAGCGACTATGCCGATAGCGGTAACGACAGCAATAACGACAGCGGTTGCGGTGATAAAGGCGATGGCGATGGTGGTGATAATCGCGGGCTTCATCGGCTGAAACACATTATCGTGGGAGTGGAAAAGCTGGTCAAGGATATACTAAGGTTGCACCATGGTTGGTACAAAGGAGTTAAATTTAGAAATGCCGGTAAGATTTTGGACTACAGTCGAAATGCAAACAAATGTCGCGTAATCGTCACCCTCGCACCATCGACCCGGAGCAGAAACCGTTCGCCAGTCAGATTTGGGAGTACTATTTGAATCAACGAGCTGTTTACATGCGCAAGATGACCGAAGCTGAACGTACCGGCGATACGCACTATCGACTCTTTTTGGCTCTGCAACTTATTTACAAGATTCTCGTCAATTCAAGGTTCGGCGTACTGAATTTTCCGCCGAACGTGTTGTACTCGCCCACAGTGTCCGTCATCATTACGAAAATCTCGCAGAAATATTTTTACAAAACCCGTACAATCGTGGAGGAATACTTTCCACCAATACTGCAGCAGCAGGCGCGTCTAAGCGCCGCTGCGTCATCGATAGCTGCCGATAGCAGCGGCAGCGGCGGCGGCAGCATCGAAGTAGCCCCGACCGGCGCTCGAACTACCACTTCCGCTAACGAGCGAATCAAGTGCAAGATAGTTTATCGCGATATAGACGGTCTGATGGTCTTTTCCAATCGATCCCTCGTCGAGAATGAAACTCGTCTCATGATGCGCACCGTGAACGAATATCTGCACAAGACTCGACTAACCATGGGCGGTGCGAAGTTGGAACTGGAACTCAAATCCGCCGGCGTGGATTTGTACTCCGATACCATTATGGGTCGTAAGAAGTATTGGAAGTCATCCGATGCGGGAAAATTCGTCACCAAAAGTTTCGAGAGGAAAGCGCCAACGTTCGTTAAATAAATCATAAAATTAATACAGTCCAATTCAAATGTCCAATGTCAAATCGCGCTACGCCATGTTTCCACTGTTCGCGAGTACGCCGTGCTGCGTATCGCCTTGTACAATCCACTTAATTTATTTCTCAGCATGTACAATCACTTGCACGAATAATATACCATGCACGGTATAGCAGATTTTACTTTCGGAGTCATGTTGAAACGGCGCAACGGAGATGGCACAAATATAGGACGGTTCATACAGAACATGCTCCTCAATTACGACTACGACTTCGGCGATCGCGTTCCATGCGTTTACGTGCTCGACCCCGCGAATGCCGGAGCGACGGTCAATCGGAAGAAAAATGATTTTAACGTCTATGTGGACCGATTTAATTACACAGGCCCACAAAGAAAAAAAATTTTCTGTACGAGACAAGTGGCTATACTATTCTTATGTATTTTGAGCTGCTGAATCCGAATCTAACGTCAGAATTTCTCCTACACGTCCTAATTTCTCTCTAAATGAAGATAGTAGCGGGAAATCGAGGGAACAGTTTTTTGAAAAAAAAAGTTTTCTCCATGCTGCATGACCTCAAATATAGGCTAAAATCGCGTTTTTTAGGTTATAACATTTAGGTTATAATATTTAGGTTATAATATTTCGAAAACCTGATCCAAACGAGCATTTCTGAGGCCAGATTTGAATTCAGCGTGTTAAAAACCTTCGGGATAGTATACTCCGGTTTCTGGTAAAATGTTTTTGCCAAATTTTGTCGGCCTGTGTTATATATAAATGCACGCTCAAGCACATATACACACATATAGAGAGAAAGAGAAAGAAAGAGAGAAAGAGAGACAGAGAGAGAGAGAGAGAGAGAGAGAGAGAGAAGCGCGCCCGCACGCAAGCACGCACACACATATATTTTGAAGATGTCTCTCCAACAGACCAACAATTCAAAAGATATGAATGTATCAATCAATGTAGAGCTACTTCATCAGACTTTATTTCAGTATTGCGTCAGCAGTGCGCATAATACGAGCTTGCTGGGACCAGACACACAGTTCTTTTGTAAACATCTGAAACGTCGTTTATTGCTGGCTTGGAAAATGATTGTCGCCGCTCTTTTATTATATATTATTATTATCACTATAGCATTTGCTTTTGTTTATTATGTGAATCATACAAGAGCCGGACAATTGATCGATCAAATACCAGGACTGAAACATATTCCGTTTTTTGGCAATATATTCTATGATCAAGTGCCACAAGTTAAATGGCAATTCTCAACATGTTCGCCATTAATTAATTAATAGTTCAGTAATGTTCGACTTATTTTTCATTTGCATCAGCAGATCATGAGCTTATATGTTAATATAAAATTTTAAACATTATATAATAATGATTTTATTTTTTTCCTTTTCTTTCAATATTTATTCTCTGATATAATTTATTAAGCTTGATTTGCTTAAGTAATGGTACAGTGTACTTAAAAGAATGAGAATGATATTAATATATATTTTTTATATATCGTTATTTATAATATATGTGCACAAATTTCAGATAAATTTTGGTGCTTTTGCGTATAGTGACGGACAAATATTATTCCATTACTAAAGTATGGGCTTTTTTCATACCTGTTGTGACTATTCGTCAACCTGATGATCTCGAGGTATGTAAGTGAAGAAAAGGATAATGATGTATTAAAAGAAATCTATATGTATTGAAGAATTATTTATAAATTTACTAAATATAAATTAACTTACATTTCAAAACTTTATAAACGTTTCGTTAATCACATATCGCAAAACTGTTAACTTTCTAAAATATAGTCTCTTAAAAATGAAGCAGTACTTGAAATTGATCGTGAAACGATTAGTTAATTAGCTACATGTGAATTTGAACGTTATAATAAATTGATAGTACAGAATATCCCACTTCCTGTGATTTTACGTAATATTAAACAATATGTTGCACATCAATAAAGGCCTCATATGCTATACGCTGCTTCCTTGGCTAAATACAGGGTTTCTCACCAGCATAGGTAATGCAATAAACTTATTTTATATACGCGTATATATATGCTTTATGTTATTGAACATACCAAACATTGTATACATAGCCTAGTATACGGTTATTCCGAGGAAAATAATCTTATTGTAATATTATAAAATATATCATTCTATATATATTAACAAATTGTGATATTCTCTCAAGTGATAAAATTGTATCACTCACTTATTCAATATAATTTCACGAGATTGTAAATGAGACCTAATAAATATGTATACTTCCAGATATATAGGAAAAGCAATCATACTTTCGTGCGGTAAATTTTTTCCTGTTGATTAACATAATTTTTGTTAATGACTCGATAAAAATGAATTTATGCGGCTATTTTGTGCTGTTGATTGAGCGCAAATATAAAAAGAAGACACATTGAGATTAAGAACTTACTTTACTAAAACGGATCATGAAAAGTATGTTGATAAAAATCTGATTTGTTAAACAATAAATTCAAAAGCACAAGAAATAATCGTAGGCCAGAGTTATTGTATTTTATTTTATAGGGTTATCGCATAATAACATTTGCGTTAGAAATTATTCAAAAAATGATGCTAATCATAATCTTATATATATTTTAGGTGGCATTCATAATGTAAGATACTGACACCTGCATTTCATTTCAATAGATTGCGAAAATGTGTTAATGTTTTAGTGGAGGAGAGATAATGCATGACCAAGACCTTAAAAGATGTCGGTGGGACTGTTGAAAAGAATGTATTAGCATTTGCTTTTGAACATATGTTGAATGCAATATGTGGTAAATTATAAGATATTTTTGTAATATAATTGTTTAGAGAGTTTATTATATTCGGAATAATCAAGAATGAGAAAATTTGTTCGCGCGTGTAGTATCGACTGTATTAAAGGTCAATAATATTTCTGTAGTGATTTTTACTAGATATCTTTATTTTTAGATTCGAAGTTTTTTATGGAGCATATGATTTGTGTTATCGCAATTTAAACATAGCGATTTGCCATTATAGATACTAACATGGGTACCTCTCTGCATGGTCTCAATGTAGCTCAAGAAGAATATCTAGAGAAAATTCAACAATTGGGTTCTCTTCTCGTTTATAGGTATTTAATTAATGTATGGTGCAAGTTATATATATATCGCAACGTGATTAGATTAGTTTATGCTGCTGTTAGTGGACCGCTTGAGAATTTTTTGTTTAATGTAACATGTTTCAAGGGGAGCTTTAGAGCTTTAAGATGATCTTAAAACTCACCTCTCGTCGCTATTAACGCGATTATACAAAGATTACTTCCATTATATTCTATGACTTCCTTTTAGCACTATGTAATTATGCTGTTTAGATTATTGAGGCCCTGATTCATTTCCGAGTGGTTATGGAAATTGTCGTCAGCGAATAGATTTGAAGAAGAAACTACTATACCACTTGCATGGATTCATGGAAAAAGTGCTTAAGAATCAAGCCCCTTAACATTTACTGCGTATTTCAATGAGAGATATATAAATATGGGCGCCTATAAGTAAATAGCGATAAAAAATGTTGAAATATTAAACAATAACGCCATAACACGAGTTAAATAAATTAATGTTGTGTCTCATGTTAACATAGATTATTGCGGAAAGAAAATTTTATCATAAACGTACGATAGTCGATATTTGCAATCTACTAAAGATAATAATGTGACGGAAACAAAGGATGTAGAAATATATGGAAGTACTTAAGTTAAATATAAATTTCGAAGTAAATTTCAACATAAACCTTGTTCATATATTACAAAATTGTAATATTTCAATTAGATGTTATTAATTAATTTAATTTATTATTTGCGATCAGTTTTCAACGTTCAACATCAATTAAATATTGTTTGCTTAAATCATATAAAAAATGTATGAAATAAATTTATTAGGAGGTAAACGTTTTAGCTTGTGCTTTCTTGCTTGATTCAGAGAAAAAAGAAGGACTCGCCATGTTGGATTTCGTAATAGCAACTTCGCGTGAACATCATTTGACTAATAGGAATATCAGAGTAGAAGTGGATACTTTCACATTAGAAGTACTTTCACATACGTATAATAGTAATTTTTCTAGATGATTTGATATATTATGCCATATGTAATATACAAATTCACTACAGGGTCATGACACTATGGCGACAGCTATATCCTATACTTTGTTATTGATAGCAGAACACAAGGAAATTCAGGTACATATTGACGGAGACAAGCGATATATTTTATTGGGGCTACTGATTAATTCTTTCAATCATCTGTTGCGCGTTCGAAACGTCGCAGTAATGTGGAGTTGCCCGGTACAGCGCGGTAGAACGAGAGGAGGTGGAGAGGCGCGGTAGTTAATAAAGTGCTTTTTGATTGATAAAAACTGAATTTGTTTTTATTACTCGATCGCCCGATACAATTTTACATACGCGTCCGACAGCATGTCGGTGCTCGAGAGTTGAGAATTTGAGTCGCGCGTTACAATATCGCGTATGCGTCCGACAGCGTGCCGGTACCAGAGAGTTGAGAATTTGAGTCGCACTCGTGCCGGTCTTACGTCCCCTTTTATCCTCTTCCTATGTTTTAATCAGAGGGGACGGTGTTGATGCGTCAGCGTCATCTAAATGAGGACGCTGACCATCCTGATTTCCATATCTCTTTTGCAGAAATGCCAGGTTGCATTTCCGCATAGCGACATTTGACAATTTCGATATCTCTATTGCAGAAATGACAGGTTGCATTTCCGCGTAGCAATGTTTTGGCAATTCGGAGCAGTGGCTCCGTTTATGGTCATCGACATACTTCGTTGTTATGCTTACAACATCCCTCCCCCGTTGGAGAAAGAAAACGGAGGGATGACGTTTTCGCTTACAATAGTTTTTCCCGTGTACAACATTTTATTACAATCGTTTGTTTTTATTATTATTTTAGTTCTATTCGTTGATATCGTTTCAGCGGGTTTTCCCTTAATTTACAACAAGGTATTCTTATCTTTCGTGTTATGTCGCTGTTGCGGCGATCTATAACAATTGGATTATTTTTTGTCATATTTTGTAACTTTTTTAGTATCAGTATTATAATTATAATTACAATGATAATGGTTATTCTACTCGCCGCAGTTGAATACATTAAATATTTATGTTTTTCGAAAGAATTTTGATTTTATAGATCTTGTTGTATTTCGGACAATCTATTTCCTAAATTTGTTAATTCCGCGGAGTCCTGTATTACCTTTTTTATTGTTAAAGTTTGTGCTGTGTTGTTTTTATTTTGATTTGCTGTGGTTTCTTGCGAAAACGTGAGATTATATTCTAGTATAGTTATTTGTATGTCGTTAGTTTCAAAAGTTTTTGGGTCTGTATTATAGTGTGTTCTATTGTAAGTCTACATTGCTGTAGAATTGGATAATTCCTAATTTTAAAATTTTTTCTCGATATTCCTTATTATCTTTACAATGTATAATTATCGGTTGTGCGCTATGCGTTGAATACAGCCAAGCGTTGTTTCTTATTAATAAAATGATTACAGTGTGGTTTATGTTGACATATTTAATATTACAATTTTCGAATGTTTCTGCGCGGTATACATTTGGAGCTCGCAGGGTGAATCGGAGTGTATGCAATATATTGGAGTGTTGTGAGAACATGTGTACAAATTCCTTAACTTAATACATTCATTTAATTTGTACTTGGTCAGAACAAGGTATGTGTTACCTTCTGTGTTTACAGCGATTTTTGTGTGTATGATGTCTGTCAGTGCAAATACGTTATCATGAACATGTATAGGAAATGGTATTACTCGCACTATTTCATAAGCTGGGTAAGTTATCAGCGGTATCTTTAAAATAGTGTATAAATTTCCTTCCATATAATATGCACTAATTGGTATATATCTGCTTATTTATAGCCAATTTTTTACTGAAAAGATAATTGGGAAATGAGTGCCTTTAGGTAGATGTATAACCGTTTCTTTAAGATTTTTAATTATTTCTTCTACCGGTGTAATTTGTTGTGCCAATCTTCCTTAGTTTATATTATTTAGATAAATCATTATATCTTCTTGATCGCGCATAAGATCGATAATTACTGCATTTAGGATTGTAAAATGTGCATTTACCTCTTCCCCTTCGATAAATACGCTTCGTTTTAAGGCAAGTTTACTTATGCTATTTATCAATATATCATTGTTTTCCTGTATTGTTTCTGCGAGGCCTTTCATGTATCCTATTGTTTTATTTAAAATTTGTAATTGATTTGCCACCGTATGTTTTAGAGTTTGTTGGTTAATCTCTAGTAGACTTAGTTGTTCATGTATTATTTTTTCGTCATTTGCGTCCATTTCTCCGAATAAGGTTTTTGCTATGGAGCCTACTCCGTCAATTACGCCTCGTCGTAAATTAGGGGTGCTTTTATATATATTGTTTATACTGTTTGTTGTTTGGTGTATTCGTTCTACATTTTTTTCTGAAATTCTGCGCAAGTTCATACATAAGTGCGTGGAGCGGCATGTTACTATTATTTGGTGGAGATATTCTTTTATTTGGTTATAGCGACGATTTAGAGATTCGATGTCCAGTTTGATTAACACCTTCCAAGATGCGGCTACTTGGTGAAGATGTCCCAGTTTATCAAAGTATATTCCTGGTGTATCCCGAAATTCTTGAAGTATGTATTGCTTCTCTTGGAGCTCGCTCGTTGTGTACCAGATGTAGAAATATGAAACCGGAATTTCCCTATAGATGGTGTTAGCCATCAGTTTAGGGACCGTAAGACCGCTTCTGCAGCGCCATTATCTCCCTCTAACAGCTGACGAAGATTTTCAACACACACAACCCAAGTTCCATACACCGGTATATTTTTCTATAACCTTAAACATGTCGAGTTTTTTGTGCCTACGAACTATGATTTGCGGACAACATTGGTTTTTTATATCATTTGAAGAAAACTGCTGCAGAATCGTATCGAATGCTTGTCGAAGCTTACGGTGAACATGCTCTTGGTAAAACACAGTGTTTCGAGTGGTTAAAAAAATTCAAAAGTGATGATTTGGACGTGAAATACGAAGAGCGTGGGAAATCACAGAAAAAGTTCGCAGACAACGAATTGCAAGCCTATTCAATGAAGATGATACTCAAACTCAAGAAGAACTCGCGGATCAATAGAATGTGACGCAGAAAGCTGTCTCAATTCGTTTGAAAGCCATGGGAAAGATTCAGAAAGTGGGAAAATTGGTTCCGCATGAACTGAATGAAAGACAGCAAGAAAATCGAAAAACCACTTGTGAAATGCTGCTCAACAGATGCAAAAGAAAGTCATTTCTCCATCGCATCATGACAGGTGACGAAAAATGGATATATTTTGAGAATCCTAAGCGTCAGAAATCATGGGTGAATCCAGGCGAATCATCGATATCCACTGCAAGTCCAAATCGTGTTANGCTCTGTGTTTGGTGGGATCAGAAGGGTGTAATCTATTATGAGCTGCTAAAACCTAGTGAAACCGTTAACACTGATCGCTACCAACAGCAAATGATCGATTTAAATCGAGCATTGCGTGAAAAACGACCGGAATATGGAAAAAGGCAACACAAAGTCATTTTGCTCCATGATAATGCCCCATCACACACAGCATAACGGGTCAGGGAAACGATCGAGGCGTTCAGTTGGGAAATACTAACGCATGCGGCTTATTCTCCAGACTTGGCTCCGTCCGATTATCATCTATTCGCATCAATGGGACACGCTCTCGCTGGATAACGCTTCAATTCGTATGAAAATGTACGAAAATGGCTCGATAGCTGGTTCGCTTCAAAAGAAGAAATGTTTTTTTAGCGTGGCATTTATAAACTGCCGGAGAGGTGGGAAAAATGTT